AAAATTTAATTTAATTTAATATAAATGAGTTTTAAATTGAGCTTTAATTGAATTTATTCAGGAGCTTTAAACCAAGCTTTGACTAAGTTATTTCATAAGTCTTAAATTTAACTTGAGCTTATTCCCAAGCTTGTTCATGTATTTTAATTGAAGCTATTTATCTAGCTTCTTAATGAGTTTGGTAACAAGCTTTAAATGACACTATTTTTTACTATAAACTAATTGAAAAATGAGTTGTTCCAGCTTGTTCATTTAACAATCAAGAATTTGTAAAATTGTTCAAATTTGTTCACTTAGTTAATCAAATGAATGTGAACAACCTCTTATTGAATGAGCTACAAGTCATGGAAAACTAAATTCATTTGCAGCTCTACTAATAGGAATCTAACAAAATTTAAAAAATAATGCTGGAGATTCTCAACAAAGATGTGGTCAACAAATCGGCTCATAATCATATTTTTTTTAGGGACTTCTTCAATTGCTTGACTAAAACTTAGTTTATTTAAAGCTTCACCTAGCACATCCGCCCTTATGGATAAATATGTCAACAAATGTTATGTTGGTAGATGAACTCACAAATTTTGATATTTTTTAAAACTTATCATTGTCTCAAATGATCCACCAACAAATGTTATGTTGGCAGATGAACTCACAAATTTTGATATTTTTCAAAACTTATCATTGTCTCAGATGATCCAATGGGCCTGTTGATGCATCAAAATGTACTCAGAAATGTACTCAGATTCTGCTCTTTATTTAAATTTAGCTGTCTCATTGCTTATTATTATTATTACTATTTTACAAATTTTAGAACCGAACATTTTTAGCTTAAAATCTTCATTAAAACAAGTGTCAAATTAGACAAAAATTATTCCATTAGGACATCAGACAACAAAATTTGCGTCCAAAGTTCAATGATCGCATGTCACGTGACAAATAAGCCCAACAATTCTAAAAAAATTACTATAGTGAGACCCACTTGTCACATGATAAGTGCCCATTAGACTTCAGGTGCAAGTGTTCCAGGGAATAAGTGCCCACTAGACTTCATGCGCAAGCAAACAAACCAGAAATAACTTTCTTCCTAATAGAGTCAGCATATGGTGTTCTTTCTTCGTATTTAACGCATTACCAAGAGTTATGATTCATATGACATATAATCATAATTTGATTCACAATAGATTCCACCATAAATTCCCAAATAGCCAATCTATGAGCGACCTCTTACTCGTAACAGGTCTACTGCTGTCAATTATCCTAAACCACTGATTCTCAGGATCGCACGTTTGATCTCTGTCAAGACACAGGCATGTGCTAGTCACTATGGTTCTTCCATCTGAGCCGACATCCAAGCACAGACTACTGCTGCTGTTCGCCGTCAATTTTGTCGACAAATGCATCGTCGAATCCGATATGAGCTCCCAATTGGAGGCAGCATCGCTGCAAATCGTCCCAAACTTCACCTTCTCACCCTCGCCTGCTGCTTTGAGGCACACTGTTGTGCCCTTTAATAGAAGTGTGTGTTGTCCGGTGTAATCCCAGGCTTCGGACTCGTCGCATTGCCCCAGGTGAAGCGGCTCAGACAGAGATTTCTTCGCCACACACAGCCCAGTTGCCGGGTGGAAGAGAACTTTGTAGGGCTTTATGGCGGAAAGTCCAGGACCTGCATTAAACCAGGTGTTGAATTGGTACCGAACAAATGTTTAGGGTTCTATTGCGTGGTAAAAGTTCTTAAGTACTTGTTTATATCAAATGCAGTATTTTTTATTTAGCATTTTCTAACTAATTAGACAATGTAATGTTATTTCAAATGATCTACCAGGATTGTGATTTTTTTTTTCTTGGGAGGTTTGTTATGGACTCTCTATAGTTTGATCTTTTTGTGAAAAATGAAAAGAGTTTTGAAATTCTGTAAAGAAAAACAATAATTTTTTCTTGTATATCAACAAGCATAGCAACTATCTTGAATCCAGAGATACATATCTTGGGTTTTAAGATTTTGGTATTATTGGTAGAGCATTTTCTAAAACTTGTGTTTTAGTACCGAAGAGTGATGCCCAAATAATGACACTTCAGCTGTAATATGGAAGTTTTGTTGCAGTCTCTAGCAGCAGTATCAAGTTCTCTATATCCAGGAATTTATTGCTATTTTTTTAAAATTGGCATATATATTAGTATTAGTTGTCATTGTTTACGAAATAAGATGATTATTATCTTTGTTCACATAATTCCAAATTATCAAAATGGTTTTCCTTCTTTTCATAGAACCTGACCAGGTATGTTATATCAGAAACGTTAATATTTCAAATAAAACCATTATAGCAATTGAAATTTTCAATTGGTTTTGTATCAATCAGGCCCCCAAACAATTTTTTTCTCGAGATTAAATTCTAAAAATCATTGGGCTTTGCCTGATCAAATTCTACCTTCTCAGAACATGATAAAAAGTATTTATAACAAATTTGTCTTGTGGATTGCGATTTGCATTTCACATGTTTGTTTTTATTTTTTATCATTAATGGTGAGTTTATCAGTTTTTTTACTTGTTGACTTCATGAATATTTTCAAATCCATGATAGCTTAAGATATGGCTACCTTTATCTTCTTCATTTTTTTTTTTGCTACTTTGATAGGGATATTCTATAAAGTTATCAATGATAGTTATTCCTAAGTTGGAATTTCAACTCATCACCCATGAATATTCATAACCTAGCTTAAGAAGTTTATGATTTTCTTTTCTAAAATTTTAGTTAATTATAGCTTTTTGTAAAAGTTTTTTAATCTCAAATGTAAGTCAATCTCTTTAAAAATACCTTGGAGTTCCTGTTGTGCTGGAGCCCGATCCCGATCCCACCTCCCGATCTCCTGCTCCAGCTTCCCGCTTTCGCGCCCAATCACAAAAGATGCGTCTCCCGCCTGGCGTCATTCACAACAGAGGAACTGTTCCCGCCTCTGTCGTTTCGTGAATTGTCGCATCTACCTGTTAGCAATAAAATGTATCACACGACTCTCCTTCAGTTTTAGAAGTCACGATTTTTGGTATTCTTCTTCAGGCTTCCTCGAGATAGAGGAAGGAAAGTGCAAGCAGTAATTCCTTATGGTAGAAGGAAGAAGAAAGAAGAAGAAGAATATTGTTCTCCTTTGGCTTCTTCTTGGTGGTTTGTGACAGAAGAGAAATTGAGTTTATTTATCTTGTAAGTTTATCTTCTTCGGTGTATCTCGGTGTAGAGTTTTTTCGGTATATTTTGGTGTAGAGAGAGAAGAAGAGAGAGAGAAGAAGAGAGAGCAATGAAGTGAGAGATTCCTCTTGTAAGCGAGACAATCGACTGGTGTAAATTCCTCAAGTAGTAAATGCAAAACCACGTAAATTTGTGTGTTCCGTTATGTTACTGTTTTCTAGTATGAATTTTCTCGTTCTATTTTTTCGCTTCGTTGACCATTCTCTTGTTTGATTTATATATCTACCACATCAACTGGTATAGTTCACATCAACTGATATAGTTCACAACAACTGATATCGGAACTTTGTTTCGAATCTGAGAAAGCATGATGGCCGCAGATGAAGTAAAGGTTTCAAGGATTGATAAATTTGATGACACAGATTTTGGTTATTGGAGAATGCAGATAAATGACTACCTCTATGAGAATAAACTTCATCTTCCGTTATTGGAGAAAAGATCTGAAAAGATGGATGAGGCTAAATGGAATTTGTTGGATCGACAAGTTCTGAGTGTTATTCGATTGACCCTATCGAAGCCCGTTGCACACAACATAATATCAGTAATATCTCTTCAGCCATGTTGTGTGCAATGGATGAGGCATAATGTCCATTGTGAGTTGTGCCCAGTCAGACTTCAGTAATATCAGATAAGGTAATATCTTTTTCCACAAGTATTCTGGCCACATAAGGCCTGGTTAGGTTAAAAGTGGGCATATCTAGCTTCATAGGATCTCCAAGAATGACTCCAATAGAATAAAGAACTTGATGATTAAAGAAATGCAACTTGAAACCAGGTAAACTAATCCATACAGGAACAATAGGAGACTTATGATTTGGGTCAAAATCAGGAGACCACTTGAGTAACTTCATTGACTTGCCTGCAATGTTAATATAATTTTTTAGAGAAAATCCGAGCATAGTCATCAGCTAGGGTTAACTGAATCAACACATGTTTCTCATCCAAAAGTCTCACTTTCCACTTACCTACAAGTTTGAGATCGTGAACACTCCTGATAACTTCCATAGGTGGGTGACCCCACTAAAAATTTTCTAATAAGAGAAAATTTGAATTTTTTGGTTATGGTTGAAATTTCTGAATCAGAGAAAAATAGTGTTGTTTTCTCACTCTTCCTGTTTATCTTCTTAAGAAAAGGGCGATCGCTGGTACCATCACGACATTCCTTGTAGCTTGAGGGAAAGACAATAGTAGACTTCGCAAGATAATTACCCACCACGTGGATGAAAGAAGCTTTGTCAGGATCAACAGAAGAAGAAGGAAACACCATAACGATGATCCTTCAGCCCGCAGATGCAAAAGCCAAAGAAACCCGACGCGCGTCAGTTCGTCGAACCCGCAGAGAAACAAGCGCAGGACGGAAGAAAGGCGTGTACTGGTCGAAAACAGAAACGCAAGCAGCACGGGCGTAGCTCAATCGGCCCTACAGCGACCACGATGCAGGCGCAGCATGATCATGATCGGCTCTACAGCACAGGCGTAGCATGATTACGATCCCGATCGACCCTACAGCTCGACGAAACAGACGACATAACGGAGGAGGCTCCCCTGCTTCTACGAGCGTGGAATACAGGTAGCAGAGGCTAGGGTTTCGCCTCACAGCAAAACCCTAGCAGAGCTTCGACGAAGGAGACAGCGAAACCCTAGCAGAGCTTCGACGAAGGAGACGACTCCAACCATACTGTATATATTAATCTTGTGTATTTCTTTAGCATAACCCATTTGTGTAATTTTGATAAACACTTTTGTCTTTTTATTCTCTAAAATGTGTCCTGACTTTCATTATTCCCAAAATAATTCTGAACAGTTACATTTTTACACAATATGAAACTATGAAGCCTTTTACCAAATTTTCCTTTTTTTTCATTCTTCTCATTTCTCTTAACCTTGTCATAGTTATGATCAACATTTCAATGTCTTCAAAATATAATGCATTGTTATTAATCAAATAACTAATTTTCGCAAATCAAAATCATAACCATAGCAAATGACAGCAAACCAAATAGCATAGAAATCACAATTTTACCTTGAAAAGGAGATTGCAGAGTTGATATCCTTTGCAAAAGGGAAGAGTTCCTTTGCCTGCTCCAATCGTAAGATAGCGAACCATAAAACTCTTCCATGCCCACCACGCCTTCTCTAAGATAGTAGCTTCCTTGCAGAGTCCAAAGCGCCCAGTCTACATCAAGTTCAGCCGCCAAGCCAAGAAAGCAACCAAAGTAGCGGGTGGCATTGGGGTTCACTTATGAAGAGGGGCCAGCCCTGGCTCACTAGGAATCCCGCCCTTCTCATGACGCTAGATGAAATGGAGCCACAGACTTGGTTTGGGCTGCCACTTTGCCAAGCATTTCCATTAGAGAAGGCATACCAATGCAGCTCAAATACAAGCTTTGAAGGAAAGCTTAGCTGAACCTGCTTATTTGAAAGGAAGCTCAGATCATTGTCGAAACTTAGGCCGGAAAGTATAACAAGGACGTTTGGATTAGCGGCATGCACTGCCTCTGCACCTCTTTGCATGTATCTGGATTATTCATCTCAAGAAGTAGTCAGGTTTTAACATAACAGTAAGTATTGAGTGCTTGTGAGACAAAGTGAGTTCATATAAGAGCTATGTGTTAGGAAATTTTATATGTGAACCCATATATAATAATTATAATGTTAGAATAATTAGAAATAGAATAATTAGAAAATAATTTATTCCTGTTAGAAGTTATGAGGATTAGATTTATATTATTGGATTTGATTTATTTTCTTTCCTATACTAGATTTATTTCCTTTCTTATTTTAGATTTTCCTATTTTTTGTAGTTTCATTTATTTCCATGTAATTATTAAGAATTGATTAATTGGAGATATATATATTATATCTTTCATTTCATGTTTTTTTTTTTTTATCTTTCATATTCTAGGATCTGCCCCTAAGCTGCAACTGCAAGTTGCGAGAGCGTCGAGAAATGGCAGAGGCAATAGAGGACACTCGAGCGCCTTTCTTCTCAGCTCGCAGATGCTCTCCTTAGACATCTACACAACAGCCGCCTCCTTTTCACATCCATCCTTAAAGTTTCCACCTTTCTATCAAAATGGTTGACTTCATAGGGAACGACAGCCTAAAAGAATTGGACCTGTCAAGATGCGCAAGTGTCACGGATGATGGCATTATGCATTTTTATCCATTTCAAGTTTGTAGAAGCTATGTATGTCGAAAACATGATTGATTGTTGGAGTGCTCTGCCTCTCTTCCTTTGTAAATATCCGTGTGTTTGATCTGGGAGGGATTCTTGTCACTGATATGGCACTATCATCATTACAGGTGCTGACACTGCTCGATCACTTGGATTTATTGCACAGTGAAATTTCCAACATTGGTGCTACTACGATTTAAAAGTTATCTATGTTGAGCTTTTTAAATATAGCTTGGACTAAAGTTACCAGATTACCTTTTCTTTCTCTTTCTTGTTTAAACACGAGTAACCACACTATCCATTCTATGGTTGATGGAGACGATGGAGCCACTTCTCCTTTGTCAAAGTTGATTGTTACTTGAATACTTTTTATTGATGTAGATTAGGTTTTTTCAAGTCTACAATCAAGCTGCTAGAAATTCATGGTTATATCTTACTCAAACATTCGCAACTTCAACTTTTTGGTTTTTTTGGATAACCTGGAACATTTAAATCTTAGTCATACCCAGATAATCGATGGTTCAATGGAGCAGTAGCATCAGCTGGAGAGAAATTGAAATATTTAAATCTCAGCGGACTTTTCTTGTAGCAGACCCCTCCAGAGTTTTTTTCTACCACAGGACCCTTCTCAGGCCATACCTTAGGCCATATCCTGCAGTTTTACCTGCATATGTTTTTTTCTTTTTTCTACTGGTCATACCCTTCAGCTTTCCCTGCAGGTGTTCTTCCTTTTTTTTGTTACTCGTAGGCCATATCCTACAGTTTCCTCTACTTCCCTGCAAACATTTTTTCATCATTACCTATAGAAGCATTTTGCCTATCTGCAGACATGGCAAAAACTGTAGTCAAAGACATCGCCTACCTGCAGACATTGCAAAAACTGTAGTCAATGACAATTGCAGTCAACTAGAAGTCAACTTTGCTTGTAGGTTGTCTACTTTCTTGCAAATTTCTATGCAGAATTATCTGCAGGAGCTTTTCGCCTACCTATAAACACTACAGAAATTGTAATCAACTAAAAATATCCCTAAATGTTTTTGGGGTTGATTGTCAAGTACGGGAAGAAAACTTCAAGTTCTACCTCATAAAGAAAATTCCTCACCTATTGTTTGATATTATCATGTTCAAATTGAACATGGTTGTCAACCATATTTCAACTTGAGCGAGAGTGTTATAAGTTATATTAGGAAAAAGTTTATTCCTATTAGGAGTTATGGGGATTAGATTTTACTTCATTTCCTATTTCAGATTTATTTTCTTGGATTGAATTTATTTCCTTTCCTATTTTAGGCTTTCCTATTTTAGGTTTTCCTATTTTATGTCGTTTCTTTTTTTCTCCAAGTAATTAATATGAATTGATTAATTGGAGATATAGGTGTTATATCTTTCATTTCATGTTATTTCTTTTTTCTTGTATTTCCTATTCTAGGATTCATGTAAAGGGTATTTATACCCCATTTTCATATCAATAATATAATTATTCTTAAATATAAAAATTAACAATACTTTAGGCTAAGTCTTTGTTAGGAAATAAATCAATGACATTAAATAAAATTAAAAAATAAAGAACAAAAGTGACCCCGACCAAACTCTAATGCAGTGTTTTTTTATTAGGAAATAAATTAATGACATTAATTACCTTGATATGATGTAATGACATTAATTGTCCTGATATGGAGTAATTAACGTCGATTTCATATGTTGATGTCTAGGCTTAATTTTCGCTCTTAATTGATTTTCTTTTCTATTCTAAATCTTAGAATATTTATATAAATATCACCCTTGTATAATGGGATGAAGGCACCAAAAAATACAAATACTTTTTCCTTATTATGGTATTTTTTTTTTCAGCACTTAATCCTGCCCTGTTATGGGGAAAAAATTTGCGTACATAAGACGTACGCAGAGTTGCGTACGTCTGTAACCTGCAAACAGGTTACAGGGAGAATTTTAGGAGGTTATAACCGCGTTATTCCCCCTGTAACCTCCCTGTAACCTACCTGTACCTTCGAGTAAGTTCCGCGCTTCTGTTTTCATATATAGGTAGGTTACAGGGAGGTTATAGGGTGTATAACGCGGTTATAACCTCCTGAAATCCTCCCTGCAGATTACAGACGTACCCAGCATAAGTCTCTTATGTAAGCAAATGTTTTCCCTGTTATGGAGCTAGAGTCGAACCCTTCCCCGTCGCGCAAACCTTCTGCCTCACCTTCCCCGTCGCGCAAACCTTCTGCCTGTGCCCTAAGCACACGGATCTACTCTGCCCTTAATCCTCCATGCGATCCTGCTTTTGCTTTACTCCTGTGTGATTCCTTCTTATTTGAATCAAATCTCGGCTCTGCCTTAACCGGTTGAGGCAAGTTCGCACCTTCGAAGCTAGGCAAGCTTGCGTCGTTCGAAGCAGCCTCTTCCTTGTGGCGTTCGATCCCTTTTGTCTCGTCTTCCAACACCTGCACGCCGGTGTTTCTCTGTGCTCTTCCCTATGAGATATCAGGTGCATGCTTGAGCTCGCGATTACCTCTCTGCCCTAGCGTGCAAAGAGGCCGCAACCCTGACTCGACCCAAAGCTGCCATCTTGATTCTCCTCTCTATTGTCGCGATTCCCCTTTGCCAAAGAAGTTGTCGTATGAGCTTTCCTCCTCTCTGTTGCCACGATTCCCCTCTTCCATAGCCTCATGTGATTCACCGTTGCTGCACCTCCCTTTCGCAATCGACCACACTCCTATCTGTTCGTAGAAGCTTTATTCTCTGTGACCTCCACTCCCTAATAGAGAAATCAGATTTTGTAAATCCGATTGCAACAGTTTTGACTGATTCAAACTTTAATTTGTGGGTACAATAATAAAAAACTTCTTGATCGGTCGCAAACTTTGGTGTATTGTTACTAGAGATATCAATAAGTCAACCAAACAACAAAATGAAACAGATGACAAATTTGCTGACCGCCTTGAAGATTGGGATAGCAAAAACCATCAGATTATTACTTGGTTTCGTAACACCTCTATTCCATTTATTTACATCTAATTTGCTGATTATGACACTGCAAAAAAAATTTGGGAGTTCTTAGTCAATAGATATCGAACTACTGGACTTGTTCATTACTTTCAGTTATGAACTTTGCTTCATGTTAGGAAATAAATTAATGTCATTATA